AAAACTAAAATTGGTTTCTTAAAAGATGCATGTCTCTTACATAACACTATAAACCCATGAATGTTTCAATTAGTGCAAGTATTAATTTATCTATAACTTGTGTTATTCTGTACTTTGACATGCTACAATTTATACATGTTTGTACGCTTTGGGCAATGTTTATGCTTTTGCGCTTGCGCAGTGCAACGTTGTCAAGGACTTAGTCCTGTCACTAAGCGTATCTTTTACGACTAGACTTACGCCACTTGATGAAACGCAAATTACGCCCGACTAAATTTTGGCGTAATCCCCGGAAGTACGCCTAAGTTAAGGCTTAACTTTACGACTTTTGATGAAACGGGCCCCTGACTTTTTTCACGATGAACTTTTTTTCAATGTTACTTTTTAATTTTTGCTTCTATATTTGGGCTTGTCACTTTTTACTCGGGGATAGTAACTTTATTGCCACAAAGCTGTGGATTAGTACTTGATTTCCTTTATTGCACAGCGATGACTATGATTTAATAGCAAAAAAGCTAATGGGATTACGTATGTGAATTTATATGATTAATGCTTACCTGTGATTTTAGGATAACTGGAGATAATGATTCCTTTTTCCCATTGATATTACATAAATATTTTCCTAAGTATTATCTTACAATAAATTGGTTTAGATTTTTTTTTATAAAAGTAATCAATAATTACAATGGAAATTAAAACCATAATCATGTTCATTGAGGATTTTCAATATGTAACAGGTCAAACAGGAACTTCAATTGTGAACATTGCAGAGAACACACCCATCAGAAGATGACCCTCAGAAATAGGACAATAGTAAGTAATGAGTAAAATGAACAGGAATACTTCATGCCAACCATAAGATTTTTAGAAACATTTTCGCTTCTTAAGTTAGAAGAGATAGAGGGAAAAACTTGTACATACTACATAACTACTAGGCAACCAACCTTTAACTGCAGGAAAGCTTTTGGTATGTGCAATACAGCTACATAAAACCTCTTTAGTATTCATGTTAAGTTTGAGAAAGTACCTTAGTATTTTTTCTAGTGTTTGCCAACATTTTCATGCACACTGTTTGCTTGTTTGTACTATCATTTTATTTTATATTCTTCAGATGCCCTTTACCTTTGCCAGTTTAGAATCATTTGTTTTAAGGGCATCTGAGGGTTGGTTCCAGAACTTAATTAATTGTAAAGTAAATACTGGGGTACTATACAGTCATAGGTTATGTTAATACATGTATAACATTTTGTTCTGATAGAGGTGGCATACAGGAAAAGAAACAATACTAGATATCACTTCAAAGGAATAAAACAGCTTCATCTTGTAGGTGTATTTTATTTAAGAATCACTACTTCATGTCTGTCTGATGTGCTGAAAGTTATTCATAATCTGTTTGACTGTAATTTTTCATATTTTCAACTTCTATCCAGCTTCGTCAATTTTAATCAAATTTTGTGCAAAGCATACCCCAGGAAGGGGGGGGGGTGGAGTGTCAAGTGTGTCTCTGTCCCTTTCAATATAATTTCAAAGCAGTTAGTAAGATTTGGGTCAATTTTAAATCCTCTTTAGCAGAACCATTGGGTTAAAAACGATACTAGTGTGCAAGCTTCAATTATCATTAAGTGTAGATATGTTTTTGAAGATTATGTACCCCTAATGTACTGATAGTGTTACATTAGAAGTCTAAAATTTGCAAGGAATAGGTGTAATATCTTTTTAAAATCTACTTGTTAACAATCAGAAACTAACATACTGTCTAATTAATATGCAACATTGTTTTGTGTGTTGAATGATGATTCCATTTTGATAAAATTATGGCGGATGGGGGGTAGGATGAAGATGCAGTTAGACACAGAAGAAAAAAAAATAGTTGATAGAATTTAGTTTTTCTTCCATTTTATTTATCAATACATATTTCTGAATAAGAAATATACTTCTACTTCTTGGTTGGGTTTGATCAACACAAAGGATGATCTTACTGTAGTCAAGAAAAACATGTTTTATACGGCAAAGAAATGCCTTTATCTAATTGCAGAATGAATAAAAAAGGACAGAGGCAGAACTGAAGGAGATGCATGAAATGAGGAATATTTCAAAGATTGCTTGAGCATAACCACTGCTACTGGATAAACATATGGCAATATAAAAGAGCAGGGTCAATGGAGGTATCATACAGTATAGGCCATGAGAGACCCTGAAGAAGAAAGTATTGAACAGAAACAAAAGTAAAACCATTTTGACATTTATTGAAATATAGGATCAAAGTCTTACATGTAAAATTTGGGCATGTAATGACTTTTCTCTAGCTCTAAGACTTATAACAGTGATGATTTGATTTAACATCTTTATCCCGATTTGTTGAAAAGATTTGGACATAGTGCATCAATTATTACGAATTCATTCATTGTACTTGTAACTGATTTTTCTGGTGCGACACTGTTTTATCGGCTTCAAAACTAAGTTTGTGATTTCCAAACCAGATTAATGAGATCATGTAATATCTTTTAACATCGGTGACTATTTAATCCATTCTTTTACATCTCAGAAGTATTTTTATTATTACAGGGAAAATATGCATTGTACATGTATCTGTAATAAACAGGATTATAGAAATTTCCATATACTACAACACAATCGTAGCAACTGAAGGCAAATATTTTATCAAGGTTGTGATCTATTTATCAATATGGTTTTCAGCATCTTGCTCTACCTGTAATGACTTGCTCGAAGTTCTAATATTTAAATTTAAATTTTGCAAACATGGTTATAAAATTCTTTAAAAGCCAAATAGTTTAGGCACAAAATGCTTATATGTTTCCTCTCATTTGTAAAGTGTACACTGAATGAGATGTGGAATGTTAGAATTAAAGTATTAAATATGTTTTGGACTTATGTATGCTTATGCAGATAAATTTGAATTCAACTAGGGAAGGTAAATGTCATACTTATTGGGTTTGCAATCTAATGCAAGAGTATAAATATCCAAGACAAATTTGACAATTGTAATGAAGGGTATAAGTAACCCAAGAAGAATTGGACAGGTAAACATCACCTGTTGGGTTTTATTCTAATTTTGGGATGTAATATCCAAGAAGAGTTGAACCAATGTCCAATACCTATTGGGTTTTCTTTCTTATGAAAAAAAAATTTGAGTAACCCAAGAAGTATGTCCAATACCTTTTAGTTTATATACTATTGAAGGGATGAAGATATTTAGTATCCAAGAGGAATTGGACAGGTGCCCATTACATGTTGGGTAGTATTCTGATGAGGGGATTCTCAAGAAACCCAAGAATTAGACAAGTGTCCATTGCCTGTTGGGTGAGATATAGATATCCAAGAGGAGTTGGACGGATGTCCATTACCTGTTGGATGGTATTCTGATGAAACAGTTCAAAAAACCCAAGAAGAATTGGACAGGTGTCCATTACCTGTTGGGTGGTATTCTGATGAAACAATTCAAGAAACCCAAGAAGAATTGGACAAGTGTCCATTACCTGTTGGGTGGGATGTAGATATCCAAGAGGAGTTGGACAGGTGTCCATTACCTGTTGGGTTGTATTTTGATGATGCAATTCAAGAAACCCAGGAATTAGACAAGTGTCCATTGCCTGTTGGGTGGGATGTAGATATCCAAGAAGAATTGGACGGATGTCCATTACCTGTTGGGTGGTATTCTGATGACACAATTCAAGAAACCCAAGAAGAATTGGACAAGTGTCCATTACCTGTTGGGTGGCATGTAGATATCCAAGAGGAGTTGGACAGGTGTCCATTACCTGTTGGGTTGTATTTTGATGAGGAGATTCAAGAAACCCAAATACAATTGGACAATGTACACATGTTCAATTGTTCTTGGGTAATTTAATCCCTTCGTCAAATACAATCCAACAGGTATAGGACACCTGTCCAGTGCCTGTTGGATACCTTCATTCTGTCCAACATGTAATGGGCATTTGCTTATTATTAATTGGTCATGACTCAAAAAGGTTTATCCTTAAATACCTAATTTTGTTATTCAAGAAAGGTTTAACAGAGTCTGAGATGTGTTGAGTTGTGTTTTCAAAATTCATTTTTTTTGCACTTAGGTATTCATATATTTTAATATTAGTTATTTTGAAATATACAGGTGTATATCCTTATTGCTAAGAACAAATTAGTTAGGTGTTACAATAAAAGAGCTATATCACAGAAATTGACAAAAATATGGGTTCAAAACCAAAGGTTTTCAATCTTGTCTGAATTTACCAGCAAATATTAAATATATAATAAATCTGAAATGAATAAAAAACAATAAGAAAAAACCCAATAAAATACGGACACGAAGATAAATATCCAATAAGATTTGAACAGTAACTACCCAAATAATACTCTCTCGTGTGTACACTTTTTTTGTATCCAATAAGCAGTATCCAATAGGACTTGGACTTGATGTACCCAATATATAACCAAATGTGTGTCCGTCCGTCCTTCCGTCTGTCCGTCCGTCCGTCTGTTACGCTTTGGGGTACCCATCTCTTATCCGTAACTCCTCTCATACCACTGAATGAAATTTGATGAAACTTTCACAGAATCTTTATTACATATTGCCATTGTGCACCTCCTATTTTACTTTTTGATCCGACACATATTTTAGGTTTCCCGGCCACAGGAAAACATGGACTTTTTCACCACTTATAACCATAGGGGAGGCGGGGGGTATCATTTAGTGAGCTCATCGCTCACAGTACCTCTAGTTTTCTGTTTACATTTGAAAAAGATATGGGGAATAGAGTACACATTTAAAAAAAAAATACACATACCTGCTGGCATGGGAAATGACATTTATAAAAGCAAGATATGGCGCTCATAAAATAACACATATACGTAACAGTCAAGCTAAATATTCAGCACATGCTGAAGAGGTACTCCAGTTTAATTATGCTGAAACTGGACAGTACGGGAAAAACATGCATGAGACAAGGGTGAGAAGAGGGGGTGGGATGGGGGTGCTATTTGACCTTTCTCTGAGGCCTCTGTATCATATGGCTCAACCTCTACTTTAGAATCATGTTCGGATGTTTCTAGTGGAACTGCTGAATCTTCTTCGCTGATCATTTGTACATTTGTTTCTATGTGTAAATTTATGGAGAAAATGTTAGTTGATATATATATATATGTATAAGTAATGGCCCGTAAGTTACTGTTAAAAAGATCAATTAAACAAAAATTACATTTAAAAATGTATACATCATTATAAATTCAAACAGCATAATCTTTAAGTTAAAAAACAAAGCTGATAAAGAGCATTATTCTTGATAAAAATAAACATATTAAACACAGACGTAGGCAAAAATAAGGCAAGGGACCATGCATGCATTTTCATTCACTCATTACTTCACATTTTCTTTTGTTAAGAAAGCTGCACATCAAATTAATCCACCTCAACATCAAATTAATCCACCCCAGCATTCCTAGCTGTTGCCATAATCGAAATTTTCTGTTAGCTAAACCAGTCACTCATTAGTCCACACATTTGTATCAACCTTTGGGATTCCCGGATTCTGATGCAGGTTTACCACTCTTTACACTTCCCGCTGAACTATGGGTCGTACTGTTCCCCTTCTGGATTCCTTTTCTGGTCACAGGGGAGGGGGTTTTCTTGGTATGTGATACATTCCCCCTGGATCCTGCCTCCTCGTGACCTCCCTTTGACCCCGCTTCAGACTCGGGCGGGTCCCTGATGCTGACTGAACGTGGGCGAGGACTAGCGGGGGGCCGGGGACTAGACCTGGCAGCTGTGGGTAACTTGAAATCTATAGCTAAGGAGGAATTTGAAAAGGAATTCATTTGTTTTTGCAACATAAATGATCATCTTTCACTCTACAAAAGAATTTTTTCATGGCACGATTTTTGCAGTACGGGGGTATGTATCTACAAATAGAAACCTTTTATCACAACACTGAAGAAAAGGTGAAAAAATACTACAAGTACCACATTTATATATGAACAAATACGATAAAAAGTAATCTTGATCATGCAAATACAGATACTGGAATGTCTGCATGAAGTGCCTCTCGTCTACAATGTGCTTAAGAAAGAAGACAACAGAGATAGAACTACATCCTATTGTCATGCTTCTTGTATCACAACATCCCATGCCTGTGGTGCAGGGACTCACCAGAATTAGTTGTTACATTTTGATCACCGCTAATTTCCTTTCCTTCAGTGTCCTTTGATCCTTCCTCTACATTATTATCTGATTTTCCTTGTTCTGGTGTTTCCTCTTTATCCTTTTCCTCTTTATGTTCTTTTCCAGACTCCTTTTCCTTTTCCTCTGTGGCATCTACATTCAAATCCTCCTTCTTGCTATCAGACGCATCCTCTTTTCCCTCTTCCTCTTGTTTGGTCTTCTCCACTTTTTCATTACTTGATGAAGAGGTTTTCTTACTTTTAGTGCTGCTATTTGAGGTCTTTTTTGTACTCTGAACATAAGGACTTGCAGAGGATTTTTTCTTTTTCTGTTCCTCTTTAGAAGACTTCTTTTCTGCCTTTCCTGTTGCTTTAGTTTCAGTATCATCTTTTTTGTCATCACTTTCAAACAAGTCAGACTTTGAGTTGGCCTCTGAAACTTTCCTTATCTCATCATTGTCATCATCATCTGTGTCCTCCCTCTTTGAGTTGTCCTGTGCACCTTCCTTCTTGTCAACTGACACCCTCTTTTCTTGGGTGGATTTCCTCTTTGCTGGAGGGCTGGACTTTCCTTTGAGGGAAGACTTTGAGGTCTTCTTCTGTGGTTCGCCTCTGTTAGTCTGACTACTTTTTGTGGACTTCTGAGATTCCTTGCTCACCTTTCTGCTAGTGGAGCCTTTCTTACTTTCTTTCTGTTTACTCGTGGTAGACTTTGTTTTGGTGACAGACTGTGGGTGCTCAGGGCTTGGTGTTTTTGTTGGCTTGTCTTCTTTGTCTTCCTTGTCCTCTGCGTCCACTACAGGACTTTCCTCTGGCTTTGATTCAGTGCTCTGCCTTTTAGATAACCTTGAATTTGACCTTGACCCATGCTTACTGTCACCATCTGATATCCAGGAGAAAATGTTTGAGAAAGATTTTCATCGAAATGAAAGTGTACAGAACAGTCACTGTGAATCTAAATTTTATTCCCTATTTTAACATCTACCTATGATCTACCTTTTTGGAAGGATTAGTCTTATAATAGCTAAGATACCAGAAAAGAGACTTTTTTTAATGAGAAAAGTGTGTAACAACAGAGAGACAACATGATGAATCACCTTGCTGGTCCTGTTCAAAGTCGTCAGGGTAATCCTCGTCCCGGTTGTCTTAATAAGAACGTGGACAACGTGTTATTATACAGTTTACCTTAAATTGATGATTGTTATTTTCCTTTATACACAAGGTTACTTTCTGTAGGTTTTAATGATTTATTCAAAATTGCAAACAAATATACTAAATTCACCAAAAATGGAGCAAAGCTTATTGCTTGACTGAAATTGCAAAAATCTGTTTGTATGATGCCTTCATACAATAAAATTCCACAGAATTTTTTTGTCTTTACAATGTATATTCTAAAATGTGAAAATGTTTTAATAATATATTA